TAGATCCTGGATTAGCATTAGAGCCAGTTTGAGCAACCCCTCAGATGTGGAAGCTCCCTGGCCTTCTTTTCACTAGACTAGACAAACCCAATTCCTGCAACTGTTCTTCATATGTTTTAGCTATCAACCCCTTAATCATCTTTGTTGCTCTTTTCTGTACTCTTTCCAGAATCTCTACAAGAGCACTAAGCAACCCCCAATTTATACAAGTGGAGTTTCTCTGCCCCAAAACAGTGGCTTCCAATTTCTTATATCTAGTTTTGGGATGGTGAGGAGGCTACTTCTTTGATCCCAAGACACAAGGGATCGAACCATTGGCCTCAACTGATGTGGTGTGGGCCTTAAATTTTTTTAAATTACAATCTAGTCAGCCACATAAAGAAAAGTTTGGGAACCATTGTCCAACGGCTTCCAACTACATGTTGGGGCATGTTTTATGACATATATGTGGAAAGGTGCCGCCCATTTAAACATAGCTGCTACTTACGGGTGGCTTGTAGGGAAACTGGTTTTTCGTCCTCTTGAAAAGTCTTGGATTGTCCAATGCTTCCTCAGAGTTTTGCGTCCGAAGCAAACCTAGTTTTGAAGCCCTGAGAGGAGAGAACAGAAGAAAATCTGAAGTCCCAAAACAGTTTTCCTTGTGAGTTTTAAACTGGGGAAACCTTCTCTTTGCATAAGTAACTGCCATTCTTCAGCCCGTCTTCAGAGCAGATGGAAACCCCCAATGGGCAGCCACGAAGGAACCTAGAACACAATTCACAAGTTCCATGGAAATGAACAAGAACTGGTTGCGAGGACTTCAGATATTGCTTAAACTAAAGCATTTAGTATTACTTGAACGACGGAATGTGTAACTTCTGCAAGTTCTCATAGAATGTCAACCACCCCAACTTGGTCAGTTAGGAAAGAAAGACTCCTGGTCCACGATTAACCAAAAGTACACTTTACTAAAGCCAAAGTGGTTACCGAAGAAGCAAAACTGGATCTGAGGTTTTCATGCACAAAAGATACTGTCAACTGTCCCCGGTCCCAGCCAACCCCCTGGTTATCACAGACTGTCCAATTAGGTATGGACACATTATTTGGGTGACGGTCCCTTACTTCGGGGGCTCGCACATTCCGCATTCTTTTGGCATGGTCTCAGAATGGCTGGTGCCACTCACGGGACAGTACGGCTTAGTTTTGATTCCACGTCTCCATCCCTGCATCCCTGCTCCCTCCCCTCATTGTTAATGGCAGGCTGTCAGCTTGCGAGGCGTAGCTTAGCAGAAAGGCAGCCATGACACAAGCACAGACAACAGCTATTGAGCCTTCTCCAACATGGCCGCACTTTCTGGCACGTCTCCTCTCCTGGGAAAACGCATCCTGCTTTGAGGAGATCTTGGGATTCAGTCTTTTCAAAGGGTAGGATTACCGTGACGTGTAGCAGGTGGCAGGACTTGGCCAGTCTTGACCGAGCTTGGAAGCTAAGCAGAATAAAGAATAAGAGTTGGAAAGGGGCCCCAGAGGTCTTCTAGTGCAGGGGTCCCCAACCTTGGCAACTTGAAGACCTGTGGGCTTCACCTCCCAGAATGTGAGGACAATTAGCCAGTGGAACTGCTTGCCTCCAGAAGTTGTGGGTTCTCCATTCCTGGAGGCTTTTGAGAAGAGATGTTCGAAATGGCATAGGGCAGGGGTAGGCCACCTTGGCTCTTTTATAACTTGTGGACTTCAACCCCTGGAATTCCTGAGCCAGCCATGCTGAGGGGACAGGGAGAGGCTTCCAAGCTGAGCCATGTGGACTCAGGAATTCTGGGAGTTGAAGTCCACGAGTCATAAAAGAGCCAAGGTTGCCTACCCCTGGCATAGGATCTCCTGCTTGAGCAGGGGGTTGGACTAGAACATCTCCAAACTCCCTCCCAACTCTATTATTCTATGTTCTGTGTTTGTCAGAAGGTTATAAAAGGTGACCCCATGACTCGCAACCACCATTAATACGTGCCAGTTGCGACCCCGGGGATGCTGCAAGGGTCGTAAATGTGGAAACCAGTCATAAGTCACTTTTTTCAGTGCTGTTGTAACTTTGAACTGTTACTAAATGAATGGCTGTAAGTCAAGGACTACCTGTACTCAGCTTATTCACTTAATGGAGGGCTGGAGATGAAAAGTTCCACTTTGTGGAAAACAAGGTACTCTTGCGAAGTAGAAAGAGCGTTGAACCTAAAGTTTTTGCTTCAAACCACAGAGTAGACCCTCACTTCCTCCTTCGCATCCCTCCCAAGGGGGATTTCAAAGTTGAACTAAAACCTTTTTTTTAGAAGCCCCCACAACCGGCAGAGGACCCAGCGTTTGCTTCCTGTTTCCATTGTGGCTTGTGAACTGTGTGAAGTGCCAATTCCGGTGTGAGTCAACCCTCCTGCCTAGGTTGTCTCCTTGGACAACGTTCTGGGTGAAAAGATTAGCAGACCATCCCCATTCATCGCCACAAAAATAGAAGTGAGAGATGCAGCAGAAACCCCCAACCCACTTCTTGGGTTGCTGCCCACCTCCTCCGAGGAAACCACAAGGAAAGAATGAAAGCCTTGGAAGACTCTAATAGTAGAGTCGGTCACTGGGACCAGAGTTTTGTCTTCCAAGCTTTTGGATTTGTGCTGGAGTCCGTCTTCAGGGAATTTGTCTCTAGCAGAGTGTGTGTACTTTGGGCTGTTTTCTGTGCGTATTTATATGGTGCCTGTTGTTTGCGGGTTTTTAGATGTTGTTCTAAAGTGTTGTCTGAATTCACTTTCAGCCGATGAGTCCATAGTTCCCAGGTCCTCTTTTTTCCCCCTTTTAAAGCATTGACTCTTTTCTGATCCCCTTGCACTATGATTTTGCAATATTTGAAGAAACAGGGTTCAAGATGACATCTACAAAGCCTTTCAGCAAAGGAAACTCATTCATGGTAGCACCTAAGGACCACCATACTCCACTGTGTCATTTACATTACTTATGTCCACCAGAACTGTTGAAGGAAAAATCTCCATCATGGTTCAGTTCAAGCCAGAAATAAACAACATGGCGACTGCTTTAGAAAGAAGGTTGCAGTTTATTGAAGAAGAGAGCCAGACAGAAAGATGGCTCTGTAAGAAGAGAGCGCACATGTAGGGAATGGGTTTTTATACCCTCTGGAGTCTTTTGTTTGGAGTTGTTCCTGTGGCATGAACTTTGACCTGAGTCTGAGTGTGCCCTTTGGCATCTGTGGGTTAATCCTATTATGTCCCGTCTTAAGAGTTTGGGTGGGGTATGTAGATTTTAGGTGTTTTTCTAAGCTTCTAGCTGGGGGCCTCCAACCTTGCTGGATTATTTATATCTGCATTTCTACAGAGCTGATTTCTGCTTGGGGGAGGGAAACTTGGGCTATTAAGAAAAACTGAGCATGCTTTTCTGCCTCTTTAATATTTCCTTGGGGGGGGGCTGACTTCGCACAGAACAGAGTGCTCCTTTGAAGACCCCATCCAAGTAGGAATTGAATGGCAGTACTGTTTTCACCAATGAGTAGGCCCTGCCCTTCCTTCTGCTATTCACATAGCCACAAAACACCTTTTGTGTTATCAACATTACTTGCAAAGTTCCTTTTGTGTTTTAATCTCCTTTTTATCTTTCTTTCTGCAGGCATTAATTACTTAGCGGTCTGGTTTCTTGGCGATTCCACCCATCTTGTGTTTCCTATTCATACGCCTAACTCTTGGCAGCCAAAAACCTTCTAGGCATCCAAACATTTTCTAATATGCAGAAGTTTCTCCTTAGAACTGTACTTTTGTTATCTTCTTGATGAGAAATTCCTGTGTTCCCTTTGATCTTACAACAGTTGTCTGTGGGATGCCATCATGCGTTTTTCAAAGTTTATATAAACTGGTGGTCCAGAAAATGCAGGCTAAATTTTCAAAACCTGCAGGCTCAGGTTTATTCAATAAAATAATCTTTACACGGCAGTTGTATGCTGCCACCTAGTGGGCAAAATGAAAAGGACAGCAAGAATAAGATCCGGGAAGCGAATTGAACAAATGGCAAAAGTCAACTTGTAATTTTGATGTTGCTAGTTCAATCTTCTCCAGCTAATGGCCTCCACAGTAAATAGTAGAAATTCTCCCGTGGTTTGAAGCAGAAGATGACAGAATGTCCCAACTGGCAAGTTAGGGAGATCAACAGTCATTCAAAAACCATTTGGTTTAAGGCAGTGGTTCTCAACCTGTGGGTCGGGTCGCCAAACAACGCAGTCCGCCATTTTCCCCCCCCTTTTCCTTAGCTGTGCTACTCCCTTTTATTCTATTGGCTTTTGAAAGCCAATAGGAATTGTCCAGCTGTCTCTGCCCTGCTGAGCCCGCCAAAAGTCCCATTCTGCAAACGGTGCTGCACCAGTTGAGTAGTCCTTGACTTACGACCGGTTGAGTAGTCCTCGACTTACAACCGGTTGGGGGGTCGCAGCATTAAAAAGGTTGAGAACCACTGGTTTAAGGAGATTGATTTCTGTAAGACTTCTAGTGAAGTAAACAGAACAGAGTTGGAAGGGACCTTGGAGGTCTTCTAGTCCAACCCCTTGCTCAAGCAAGAGACCTATGCCATTTCAGACAAATGGCTGTCCAGTCTCTTTTTAAAAGTTCCATGTGAAATTGTAAATGATGTATCTGCAATCTGGCCTAATATAGAGTAAGGGTTATCATGAAGATTTTGTATTATCCAAAGACAATGCCATATAATTGTAAGAAAAAATGCTGTTAATGCCCAGAATTTATGAGGAGTGGAGAGATATCAGCACTCAGTGGCTCAGGAAATCCTATTCTAGTTCTGACATACAGCTAGAAATATAATGCTGCTTTGTGTATTTTGTCCGTTCCTACTCTAAGCCCCGTATTAGCTAAAAATTCTTTCCATTTTGGATGCAAATGAGGGAGGCCAAACTTGTCCAGATGTTCAAAACGAAAAGGAAGCTTTTAGCAATGGGAGACGTTTTCTCCCCCCCTCCCCAAGGCAGTCTGGTTAGATGAGAGCACCAATGAGTTACATTTATTGATGTTTGGTTCTCATAAAAACATTAGTTGAAATAAAAACATAAATCACTCAGTCCTTATATTAAGACGGTCCCTGGACGAGGACAATCGCCGTGCACTTACAATATTTCCTGACCGCTACTCCCGCACCAAAGTCCTGCCATCCCTGATGAGCAGCTCTTGTTAGACAGCCTGTATCAGAATGTTTTCCAACCTTAGCAATTTTAAGATAAGGGGACTTCCAACTCCCAGAATTCCCCAGCCAGGGTGCTAGTTAGGGAACTGTGGGAGTTGAAGTCCCCAAATCTTAAAAGTTGCCCAGGTTGAGAAACACCGGCCTCTGCTTCCCGTTTCCTGCAACTCATAGATTATTTTTTTAAAAAAAAGATCACAACCAGAAATGCACAAAGCAGAAGAGAATGGGAGGCTACCATTCCCCCCCCGTTGGCACAGAAATGATTCTGAGGAACCATATATATACATATGGGGGAAATGAGATGAAGCCTCTTGCTGCCTCAGCATCATGCAGCTGCCAGTGACCCATTTTGGGAAAACTCCACTCGTGGGAAACACCACACAAGCATGCCTGGGCTTGGACAATGGATGTTAAGTGTGTGTTCTGTGCTTTACACAGGACACGCTCGTGAGCCTAGCAGCCAGAGAGCAAGGTGTGTGAGAGGCCCCATGTGGCACGCTGGCCAATCACAAGGCACCCTTGGGAAGTTTGATTGAAATTCAGTCCATTAGTAGAGGGATCTCCAACACTTGGCCACATGTGGACTTCACTCCCAGAATCCGCTGACTGGGGAATTCTGGGAGTTGGAAGTCTACAAATATTAAAGTGGCCTAGTGTTGGAGACCCTTGAATTAGTACATTTGAGCTTATGGAAGAAAATCAACTCGAAACAAGCTGGAAAATAGGTTTTCCCTGCTTTGCTTCCCACCATCTCTTGTCAACATGGCCACAGGGTGCCAAGCTTTCCAAACCACTTTGGAAAGAAACATGCATCAGGGTTAATCATCTTCCTTGCTCCAAGTGAAGCAGCTGTTACAGGCTGTTCCCTCCACCACCACCTTACACCAAAGAGGCAAAGGCATTTGGGGAGTTCTCACCTACGACATGTATTCTTACGCTGTGCATTCTGGCGCTCGTATGAAAAGGGAAAAATTGTACCCTCACTTCCTCTTCCTTACACTGGCCACCCAGGAAGCTGGCTAGCTAGCCTATCACCAAGCAGGACTCTCCAGCTCCAATATGACAAATGGACGCCTTGGGCCAACATGGACGAAGACGAGTGCAGACAGGTCCTCCTTTTGCTTTAAACTCTTATGCCCCAATTCAGAGATGACGTCCTTGGACGGTTGAGAGCGTACTATTGTTGATGTCGCCAGATTGAGAAATAATCCCATTTCCCTCCACTTGGAAGTGGAGGAAATAAGCCAAGGTGGTCAGTTCTAAAAGGGGAGGAGGGAGAGACAAAAACGTGGCCTTCCTTCACTCGGTGGACAGAGACGTAACAACGGGCAATAGCCTGGACGTTAATGCCAAGGGGCTCTCAACAGGGCCGCTGCCCGCTTCCAGTGGCCCAAGAGGTGGCCTTCAGTTGTGCCTCGGGAAAAAGGAAAGGCACTTTGTCAGCAAAGCAGCTCCTCTGTAAGCAGAGCACAGGGTTAACGGAGACACATCCACAGGAAGCCAGAAAGAAGCCTTGGAGTCTCATGAGATTGCAGGAACCAGCGCTGGGGCTGTAAACGGTTGGCTGGTCTCACACCAGGCTGCAGCTGCTGCGAGGCGATTAATCTCTACAAAAAAAGGGAAGAGGCCAGAACCTGGAACTCTGCTGAGCATTGTCCCAAATGGCTTGCAGGGAGCCTCAAGTATTCAGGGAGGAAGGAATGAGTCCCCCCCCCCAAGAACGTAATGCTTTACTCCAGCAAACACCCCCCGCCCACCCCAGGGCTAGAGCAAATAAGATCACTACGCAGAAGTGGCCGCACAAAACTGTTTTTCAAGATGGCCGAGCCTGGCTTCCCAGGGCTGACGGTGTTTCTTTCTTTCAGGGAGGAGACGTGGCAGAGGACGGGGAGGAAGAGGAGGACAGACGCAGGCCGAGGTGACTGAGATGCCAAAGACATCCTTCTCCTTGGTCTTCTTTCACAGCCTGGAGTAAGAGGCGTGGGCTGGCAACGTTGCAAGCCGAGCCCTCTCCTTTAAGCATAGTCTATCTGAATAGGGCTGTGGGCTCCTTCATTCTTATGGTCTTGGCTGGGCACGCTGGTCTTCCCTTCCCCGTTGCTGTTCTCGCCCCCACTGTCCCAGGATTTGGAAGTGGCGATATAGTCTTTCACAGCAATCTCCATGTTCCTCGCCTTCAAGGCTGCCGAGTGCAGTTTCTCCAAGAACTCAGGCATGCCTGTGAGGGGGACAAGGAGGGGGATGGGTGGGTGGGTGGGTGGAGAGGAAAGCATGCCAGCTGAATGACAAGAATCCAGCACCTACACACAGTCGGTGGAACTGATCCACTCTCAAAAGCACTAAGCATTCAACATTAGTGGCGATCCCGGCAGGCTGCTTAGGACCTCACCCGTGCCTTAAGACAACCTTGTCTTCAGATTCAGCTTGAAGAGCAATCCCACTGGCACCAGTTGCTACCAGGGCCACTCAGAAATGCAGGATCTCATCTAGTTTATGAGTAAATTTTGGAGTATTATTATTATTAATAGTTTATTTATAGTAAAATTTTTATTAGTTTTATTATTAGTAGTATTGTTTAACAATTTGGATATTGTATTGTTTAATAATTAGGATATTAACTTGTTTATATTATTATGTTTACTTTTAATTTGTTTATATTTATGTTAAAGGGGAGTTAAAGCGCATTATGGATTTGGTTATTTATATAGTTGGTTAATGTTAGTTAGAGTATGATTATTATATTTGTAACCCTGTACTCAGCTCTGGGAAGTGGGGGAGAGGGGGGGTTTAGGGTGGGTGGGCTTTGGGGTGTATATTGTAACTTTTATAAAACTTTTCAATTAAAAAAAAAAAAAAAGAAATGCAGGATTTCCACTCCTCCCAGAACACGGCTGCTCTGGCAGACCAAAGCCCCAAGTTGCACTCAGGAGCAAAACCTTCTAGATGTCTGAACAGGAGCCCCACCAGAAATCTAGGGACTTGTTCTGCTAGGGCAGAGGTAGGCAACCTTGGCTCTTTTATGACTCGTGGACTTCAACTCCCAGAATTCCTGAGCCAGCTTGAAGTCCACGAGTCATAAAAGAGCCAAGGTTGCCTACCCCTGTGCTAGGGAGAAGCAGTGTACGCGTAGTCCTCAACTCATAACAACTGAGCCCAAAATTTCCATTGCTAAGCAAGACAGTTAAGTGAGTTGTGCTCTATTTTACTACTTCTTTTGCCAGTTGTGAAACAAATCACTGCAGTCGTTAAGCAAATCATGTGGTTGTTAAGTGAATCTGGCTTCCCCCATTGAAACTGATGGTTTTTAGATCACCCAGTTCTGAAATCTGAGATCGCCTGAGGTTTTAGGCCCCCACCACCAACTCATTCTACCACTTTGTAGCCTGTCCTCTAAACTGAAGAATCACAATCCCCAAACTCACCACTGGAAACCATCCAGCTGACACAGTACCGAGGGAACACCGTTTGTGGGTTGTCACTGTATGTTAGCAGGTAATCAAAGCCATTCTGAAACGAGAAACAATATCGACTAACTGCTGCTCCTCTGAACGAGGGGATCCATACCTATCTGCATGGTCAGTTAACTTACTCAATTTAACCCTTTGCTACATAGAACAAATTCGTGAAAAATAAATTATAAAATCAAAGTTGCTATGATAATAACAAGGAAAGAATCATGAAAAATCTCTCTTGCCGTAAGTCATTCGCAAGCAATAAAAGCTTCAGAAGTATCTGGCAGCAACTTTCTTAATAGTCAAAGCATTTTTTTGTTCCCTTTATTTAGTACAGAGGATTTCTGGGGGATGGGGGGCTTCTATAGGGCCAACGGGCTCAGCCAAAACCAAAGAAATGATGATTAAAGCAGTTCCTTGGAACCCCTCGGTGTAAGGAGAGGACAGGAGATCGCTCACGTGCCCTCCAGACAGCTCCTCCTCCTAAGGCTGCTGCAGGGTGGAGGTTTTTTGTGGGTTCAACATGCTCACAATTGCAGCACAGACTTTTATAGGAAGCTACGTTTGCAAACCTCCCTTTCTAACCACTTTCAATCATTCTGAAGTGGAAAATATGCAGCAAAAGGGAGAACACATTCTCAAACAAGTTTCATGTAATTTTTACAACTAAAGAAAGCCTAAAAATACAAAGGTTATCTGCTTAGAAAATCCTGACGCCACCCATTTTGTATAATGGCCATCGCTGTTATTGCTGACCCAATAGTCAATTTATAAAGCCTGGCAAGGATTATAGAGATGATATATAATGCATGTCAAACACTGAGGCCTAAAGTAAAATGTGTATATTAAGACAAAAATAGGAGTCAAACACACATTAACAATTGTTGCTTCAGCTTCTTACATATTCCTGCTCCATGTAAAGAAAACCTCTTTTAAATTTAGGATTCCTTATTTTTTTTAAAAAAGGAACTCACCTCATCAAATGATTTGTGAGGATGGATAACCATCTGTGACTCATAGGTTCTGACACGGACAAATTCAGGATCTTCTGGGACATTTGGATGTTCAACGGCTCTGACCAAAATAAGAAAGAGGACATACACTTTCATAATCAATAAACCATCAGTTCAATTCTAGGACTGCAAACACTGTGCAACTGCAAAGAGTAAAGATTATTTTGACAAAGATATGTGAGAATGGCTGCCTAGGTAAAAGGGGCTGAAGCATTTTTTAAGTCCAGGTGATAAGGTTTGAAGTGGTTCAAGCAGATGCCTCTCTACTTCACTAGGGTGTAAGAACAAGAATATAGAATAACAGGGTTGAAAGCGATCTTGGAGATCTTAACTTACCGTGACACCAGCACCATCAGATTGTTCTCTCGGTCCACATCGTACCGTCGAACGTAAACATAATCCCGTGAATACATTGGGTACTGGAAAGGGATGGGGCAGAGAAAGAAGAAAGAGCAGAGTCGTTAGACTGGATGGCTGGTGACTATGCACCTGGTAAGCAGAAGTGGGGGGGGGGGAGCAAAGGAAGGAGGCCTTACAGGAAAGTGAGTGACCCAGTGCACCACCTCTGAGCCCGTGTCCCGGTCTCTCTCAATCACTTCCAGTTTGATAACTAGCGAGTCCCATTTCTTCCGATATTCTGTGTCCAGCTAGAAGAGAAGAAGTCACACATTCTCAGTCAGCTCCCCTAAACTTTCAGTTTGCTAATGCAATCTAAAAACGGACTGCAAAGCCAACGTTGAAAATCTTGAGGATTCCTGATTTGTTTCCAAAAAGTTTTTCTCTCACCCGAGAAGGCAATAAATCCTTCGTGCTCATTTTTGGAGTCTTGGGAGGTTAACTTGTCAGTCTCTCTTTTCCCTCAAAAGGGTAAGCATATGAGAATTCAGGGAAGAGTAGAGAAAAAAACTGAGTGTGCTCTTTTAAATCCAGATCCCGTTCTGCAGAAGATGCAGAACAGGTGCAAAACAGAATGTCTGAGGGCATAAAAAATAAGGTAGGAGAACGAAAAAGAGACCGCAAGAAGAGATATTTGGGAAAGCCAGAAAGAAGCGTTGTGGGCCAAGGCTGCTCCCTATAATAGCATGTGTGTTTATTGATAGCTGGTCATCGGACTATCAGCTTTACCAAGGTAAGCAGCTTAAGAAAGTATTTATTTTAAAAAGAAAAGAAGTGAAAAAAAAGACTCTCATTTCATTAAAGGAATGGTAAATTAGGGGAAAACACATCCCAATTAAATGCTATTTTTCAATAAAAACAATGAAGCATCTTAGTGTGAGTTATAGAAAACCAGCTCAGTGCATCTGATAGATATGTATATAAAGTTTAGTAGTACAGTATTTAACAGAAAAAAAATAATCGAAAGTAAAGGAAACGGAGCATTTAAGACTTGTTTCAAGCTGCCGTAAACTATTTTTCAAAGTAGTTGAGCTTGCCACAAAATACAGTCAAACATTTCAGCTTGATTTTTAGATTTCCAGCTATTTTTGAATACGCATTGTAACAATCAGCACTGGGGAAATCTATTTAGCAGAATATCTTATGCTAATTTTGCCTTATTTTATTTGCACTATTTTGCCATGCTTTTGAGAGGCCCCTCACACTCCCCCTACGATAAGAATAGGAGAAACAGAATTTAGGCTGAATTAAAGATTTAAGCTGGAGACATCCCGCTGCCAAGAAGAAGCAAGAAGGTGTGGGAGAACTCACCTGCACGTTGAAAAACTGTCTTGGTGTCACATCTGTGTACGTTCCAAAAACTACAATAGAATTGGAAGAGGTTAGCAAATCATCCAGCCCAACTTTTGCCAGACGCACACACGATCGGTGTACCAAGAGAAGACTGAATATGAAAAGGGGAGGGGGCTACCTCGATACTGGTACACATGACCTCCGCCAACCGGACGCCTCCATAGTTTGAAATGCTTCTTCTCAACCACCATTTCCCAATTCTCCTCTTCAGGATCAGATGAGACAGCTTGGTAGGTGCTTTGCTCCAGCTCCTCCCTCTGGTTTTCTTCCTCATTGCTCTGGAAGAATCTAGAGATTTCTTGCATGTGTTTCATTTCTTGCACAGACCTTGGGAGAACAACATTGAAACGTGCCTACTTACTCTCTTCTATTACATCTTGCATTATGTGTAACGTTATTAGGTTATTACATCTACCTGTCCCATCAGATCTGGCAGAAGAAACATGCTGTGGGTTCCACCAGGCAGGACCAAGCTCTGGAACATCTCTCCTGAGGTGAGGTTAGCTCCTGCCCTTATGGTCTTCCATAAAGCCCTCAAAATTGACCGCAACCCCCCCCCCCAGGCTCTGCCTGTTCTTCTCCTACATATATATCATGTTTACTGCTGTGCCAAGCAAGGCCACCATCCTTACAACGGCTTTCAAAACGTCCTCAGGTATTATGTCCTTTTCAAATCTTAACAATGCAGGAAGAGATGTAAGGTTTTCCCTCCTGCAACAGCACCAGTATGAGAGGTCAGAAACTGGGGAGAGGAGGCACCTCAAAGCTCCAAACGGTTTAGCTCATTTAGCTTTTTTTCCCATCATTTTTTAAAAACCATTTCCCACCCCTGGATTTTCTTGGTGGATTTCCATTCAAGTACTAACCTGGCTTAACCCTACTTAACTTTGGGAGAACAAGTTAAGAAGCTCAGTGTTGCCACTAACAGGGCCTTTTATTTTTATTCTTTTGCCTTAGTCGTCAAATAGCAGCCCTATTTGCACTTGAGGTGGCACAGATCAGGCTGTGCCTCTATTTCTAATCTAACTAGTTACAGCCTGCATTTTGCACTCCTATTTGGGCAGCAGAAATTCAAGATGCACTATTATTTAGGTTGGTAAATCACAAATGACATGGGGCAAACAAGAAAAAGGACAGTTTGTGTGTGTCTACAATGTGCTTTATTGCTTCTTTTTATTTTCTATTTATATATATACAAAGTATGTGTGTGTGTATATATATATACACACACTTCGTGCTCCTAGAAGCACGAAGCCGAAAACACCAGCCTAAAGATGACGAATGAGACTTCATCGAAACATCGCCAAGACACTTCCAATTTGATGCAGGAAAAAACCCGAATAACCAAAGACCTACATACAAATACCTGCGAAAACCTCTCTCTCTCTCTCTCTCTCTCTCTCTCTCTCTCTCTATATATATATATATATATATATATATATATATATATACACATACACACACACACACATATATACACACACACACACACACATACACACACACACACACAGTGTGTGTGTGTGTGTGTGTGTGTAAAAATAAATAAAAAATCGTATTGAAGTGGCTGAGGCCAGTGTCGGGGACTTGCCCAGCGTCATGCAGAAAAGGTCAAGGCAAAGTGGGAAGAACTGTACCAAATCTTTTTCATCATAGTTCAACACTCATCAGCACAAAAGCCCATTCTAGGGTCCAGGGGATTCCAGGCCAGCACTTGGGCAAGAGTATCCTGGATTACACAAAGCATTCAATATTTGTGCAAGACTCAGTCCTGAGCTCAGCAGTACGCAAACGGCCAAAGGATGTTTGTGCTGTGAGACCTGGTGCCCAAAAGGTTTTTTTTGGGGGGGGGGGGTTTGCTGCTTTAAGACAATAGTTTCAGCTACAGGGATCCTTTCCAGAAAGAGGAGAAACGTTAAGTACCCCCATGTTCCCACAGAAGGTGGCTGAATCACCTTTAGTTTTGTAAAGCTTCTAAACTTAACACACATACACACTGCCCTCCCCATAAAGGGATGGTCGTCTGCTAAGCTCAGCAGCACAAAGACAATTTCAGAAAGTCTTTTAAAGAAGGCCGGTGGAAAGGAGGGCTAAGCAAGCCCCTCAAGAAATTAATTCCAAGGCTTAGGAAATATCATGTTCAATGTGGAATTTGCAAAGACTCCAAACGCAGGAAGACACAGTATTTCTCCAGGCAGCATTGGCAGGAAAATGAGCCTTTTCAGGTTCTTTGGTCCCAAGCTGTTCAGAGCTAGAAAGAGAGCCAGAGGAATACTGGGAGCCATTGTTGGCAGCCAACTGTTTGACAATGAACTCACACATTCCCAGTAACTGGCCCCAGCTTTAGCAGACGAGATTCCTGCAGCTTTCAAGCGCTGCATTCACTCTGTGGCGTGATTGGCTCCTCCGGATTTTTAAATCCTGCACAGGTATATACGGTCTGCTAAAGTTAGGGAGTCTGGCATCTGTCAGATATTTAGCACTTCGGCTGTTATCAGCGGCCCATGAAAAGCTGATCTGCAATTTATCATACAAAACACCCTAGATAGCAGATCACACGTCTACGGAATCAAGCGCACTTCAGGACAGCTATGTGGTAAGAAACAGATCCCGACATATCTCATCTAGGTAATTATTTGAAAACACACAATAATTGAATGCCGTTTGCTTTAACTGGGGACTACAGTCACCTGTCAGATAATAACTCCCACAATGGTCAACAAGGTATCTAGGAATTAGGGAAACTGCAGAGCACTACCGTGTTTCCCTGGACGTAACTCCCCCCAAGAAAGTAAGCCCCAGCTTGATTTTCAGGGGTGGGCCTAATATAAGCCCCCCCCCAAAGAAAGCCCTGGTTTGGTGAGCGTGGGAATGGGGGGGGTGAAGCTGCCCCACACGCCCTGCACCCGCTTACTTTACCGGCAGGACTGCTGCAGCCAGGCGTCCCACGCCGTTGCTTGCAGCAGGAGCAACATCAACATTGTGAAGCGCCATGTGGCGTCCTGCCACGAGTAACGGCAACGTTGATTGACCTTCCCCCCCCCCAACTTTTCTTTCCCTGCATGTGGCGGCGGAGGATCGTGAAGGAGAAACGGCATGGGGCTGGGAGTCAGGTAAGGAAAGAAAAGCAATTCCTGGGGGAAGGGAGGGCATCTGGCCGTGGTGTGGCAAGCTGGCCCCCCCGCTTCAGCACCCTCTCTCCCCGAGCCTCTGGTGCTCCACCTGCCGCTTTGGTCGGCCTGGCCACCACCACCTTGGCACCCTTCCCGCTGCCGCCCAGGGGCTGCAGGGCTGGCCTGGCACGGGCCAGCCCCTGGCCTACCAACGCAGAGGGGGGCCCCGTCCCCCTGCAACAGCCCCTGAGCTTTAGAAGCAAGCGGAGAAGACCTACCTCTTCAGCTCTTCTTCTTTGATCCTTTCCTCTTCCCACAGGAACACTCCGGTGAGGGCTGCCATCAGCTTGCAGGCGTTGGCATGATGACCCTGGAACCGGCGCCACAAGGAAGAAAAGAGACTCTTGCGCGCCCGCTCGGAGTAAATGTTACTGTACAGCTGCGCAATCTGCTGAGCACGCCTGATTCTCTGGCTGGTCACATAGCTGCACTGACTGGCCAGCAGGGACAGCAGGCTCTTCTGCTGCGGGTCTTGCTCTGAGCCTTTCCGGAGCCATGTCAGCAGCCACCGGTACTTGCTCTTCAGGAACGTCTCATTCCACCACAGGCACCCGGGGGGTTTCCCTTCGTAGCTGATGAAGCGGGCGGAGTTAGCGTACAGAGAATAAAAGCTGGAGGGGGGCCTCCATTGAAGTGGATGGAACATTCCTGCCAACGCCTCACTGACCAGTCAATGCCCTGGGCAAAAAGACAACCACAACAGAACATTAGTCACAGAAAAGGCCACCAGTTTTTGGTATTTAGAATTCTCCTCTCTTGACAGCATCACAGTTAAGGGTAGCTTTTGTATTTCTGAGGAGAACCACGTGGATAAGGCAGATCCTTCAACAATACATTTTAGCAATCTAGCAGATGTTTATAGACCAAAACATATGTTGCAGAAACTCAGAATAAAAACACCTTTGTTTTGGTCAGCCTATTTTTTCTGTTTTTTAAATGAAAAGATATCTTTCTAGGCTGCTTTAATAAATATGCCAAAGCACAGTTAAAGAATAATTCTGCTATGCTGTTGCCTTCTTGTTATTTGTTCATTTCATGTTGCTATTGCTTTAGTGTACGGGTGTCAAACGCCACATCACGTGACATGTTGTGACTCTTTTTGCATTGCTGGCAATGGGGCAGGTGCAGCTTTGGTATGATGAAACCGTCCCGCCGGCCGGCAGATTGACACCCCTGCTTTAGTGTTATTTATTCTAAAACAATTTATTTCAGTCTCTTCCACAGAATAGAACTAAATACCTAAAAAGACTGGCAGACATATCAGTAATAGATTTGTGTAAGAAAGGTTGACAGGCCATATATTACTTGGATTTGGTTTTTACCCCCAATCTAATCCAAAAGTCAAAGTATAAAATAGAATTAAATTAATACCCTACATTTCTTAAGTGCAGAGATAAAATACCTGGATTCATACATCCCACTATAAATGGTGGTTTACAAATACATGAGCATCGTATGATATAATATAAACCAAAAGCAAACATACCACTAAAGATCCAATGCATAGCATGAAACAACTCCATGAAATCACTATAAAATGCACAGGTGAAGAGGGATGCTGGAAGCAGAAAAAAAAAAGCAAGACTTTATGGAATTTAAATGTCTCGCATTCAAACAAACAAGTATTCCCGAAGAGAGAGATTTTCCGCAATGCAGTGGAATCATTCATGAGGATAAGAGAGAGGAAAGTCAGCTACATCTCTTTTTCTTCAAAAAGAAGAACCCCTTGTATCACTATTCAACATTTCCAGCATGGAAACCTTCCCTCTTGGAGAAGCAAGAGTCAAAAGTAAGAAGCATGCTTCCTCTAGCGCTATTCTCAGCATCCTATTACAGGCCTCAAAAGCAGATACAGTAATCAGTATTAGCAACAGGATCAACTTGCTTCTTAACAACCTAGAAATGACCCCAGTGCAGGAATGCTTGGAGCATATCTCTGTACAGTAGCTCAACCAAAAGGGGGAACCGTGCAAGAGTCTTCTTTTGCAGTAGAGATTTCTGCAGCAGCTGCCAAGGAAGACCCTCACCCAAAGATTCTTCCAACTCTCAACAGTATCAAGTAAGAGAGAAATAGCCCGATGGTTAGCTGCACTCCTGCTGATCAAGAACATGCTCATTAGCTTGCCAACTCTACCTAGAGATTAACTTGTAGTCAGAAGTGAGTTTGGGAAAGGGAGTAGGAAATCTCACAGGTTTTGGTTGCCGATCAAAGCTTTTGAGGTTGCCGAATGCTGAGGTGTGTAAGATGCAAAATCTAATTAAACTCCAAGGTTTCATTTCTTTGATTAGAAGGACAGCAACTCTTCAAATCTAGCAAATGGTGAAAGTCTAATATTCCAATTTAAAAGAATCCATACATATCTACAATCTATTTCAGAATTAGATATAATTAAAATATGGGAAAGGAAAAAGAAACCTTTAATGGTTGCACAATAAAGTAAACATTAAGTAGAGAGACTCATCATCTTTAACATTACAAACTACAGAATTAATCTATGCTAGCTCATAATCTTTATTGTACCTTGAGGAGGTAGTTACAGAATTAAAACAGTTCTGAATGAGCTGTACACCAGTGTTCAGCTGGCTGGGGAATTCTGGGAGTTGAAGTCTGCATATCTTAAAAGTTGCCAAGATTGAGAAACACTGTCCTACACTGTTACCCATCTTGTGGCTCCATAGAGAATAAATCCTACAAGACAATTCTCACCATCAGCCATCTCAGGTTCAAGAATAAAAAATAAAACAAACCCAAACCTGTACAGCAGAGGTGTGAGGTATATTTAAAAGTCATCCAGGACAAATTTCAGAATGGATGATAAGACCGATTTCTATTAAGCTCTTGGAAGATAAGGAGAGTTACAAAATGGTGCAGAGCTTCTATTACCTATGACTTTCAACAGCAGTTATTCACAAATTTGCAAAATATGTACAAAATAACCTGCATTATCCCTAGTAGTTTGCAGAGAAACATTTTAATTTTTAGCATATGCACAACTGCTTACATCAAAAGATAGCAAATCATAGATTTGAGCCGAAATACATCCATCTGAAAGCTGAAACATATTTTCTCTTTCCTTTGCACATGGCCTCAACCAGAAAGCTATAGAAATACATAGATAACATTCGGTCAGATGACTTTTAAGTTAAAGAACTTTAATGCCGCGTGCAATCTAGAAAACCATCAGATTGGCAAGTATAGAAAAAGATACTGAAATGCATTAAATATCTGCCATGCATCATGGGTGATCATCGTAAAGCAGCCTCCATTGCTTTTTGTTTCTACATTATGGTCTTCTGAGAATACCTAGAGTTAGTTTGGTTTAATGGTATAGGTGCAGGCTTAGAAAGCAAAAGACTGAGAATTTTAGGCCTTCCTTAGGCATGAAAACTGGCCGTGTAACTTTGGGCCAATTGTACTTTATCAGCCCACCTCACACATAGTTGTCATTGTGGGAAGAATAGAAAGCAGGGGTGTTAGATATGTTTGCCATTGTGAATTATATATAAAAAAGCAGGATAAAAATATAATAACAAAAAGATCTGCAAGCTATTTTCCAAGGCGCCTGAAGGCAGGACAAAAAGCAACAGATGGAAACTAATCAAGGAGAGAAGCAACCCGGAACTAAGGAGAAACTCCCTGACAGTTAGAACAATTAACCAGTGGAACAACCTGCCTCCAGAAGCAGCGAATGCTCCAACACTGGAAGGTTTTAAGAAGAGACTGGACAGCCATTTGTCTGGAATGGCATAGCGTCTCCTGCCTGAGCTGGGGGTTGGACTAGAAGACCTTCAAAGGCCCCTTATGCATATCCCTCGGTGATCCAGCCTGTTCCACTGGATTCCCATCCATCCAGGATACCGTCCTAGATTCCCTTTGCACAACCAGCCTCCAAGAGGTCTCCCTCCAAGGAAGATGCCCAAGAAAGCCCCCCCCCCAATTTCTGGCCGCTTTGCTGGGCATCCCTCCCGCTGCATCCTCCCCCCTTCGACCCACAACCCCCCTTGCAGGAATAAGCCGGCCAAGGCTACAGCCACGGTACCTTTCCAGGCCTCGTGGCCCGGAGTCTCCCCCCCACGCCCCCCTTAGGGTTTGCGCCTTTTCCCAGCATTCACGGCGGCGGCGCCCCCACCAAGTGGCCACCCCCCGGGACCCCCGGCACCAGGGACTACAATTCCCAGAGGCCTGCTCGGGAAAGTGAGCGCTGGGGCTGGGGGGGGGCGTGAAGAAGCCTTGTCGGCGGCTCCGCGCGGCGCTTACCTGACGAAGCCTGTTCCCGCGGCCCTCCAGCCGGTGGCGCGGCCCGAGCGGAAGCCCGGGGGGCTGTGGGGCGAAGGTGGGGCGGCCCGGCTCGGTGCGGCGCGCTCCCCGCCTGCCCGCCCGGTCTCCTTGCTTTCTTCTCGCGGCGGAGAAGCCCTCAGAAAGCTGGCTCCGCTCGCTAGGCCGCGCCCCGCGCCTATTGGCCGGCGCCTAGGCATCCCGTCTTCCGATTGGAGGAAGGAGACGTCCGTCTCCCTCCCTTTCCTGCGACCTCGCGACCGGCATGCCGACTCCCCTCCGATCGCTCGCCCACCGAGCCCGAGCTCCACCTTGTGACCCACTCAAGGGCGCCTTGGAGACAGGAGGACCCCGGCGGGGCTGGCCTGGATGGCGCCGGCGTGAAAGGCTGCCGGCGGGGTCAGGCTGCTAGGCCACAGCCTTGTTTCGGGGCCTTCCGGCGAGCAAGGTCGATGGGAAATGGAGTCCAATGCCGTCCAAGCCAAGATGGCGCCGGCTGCGCTTGGATTCTCCCTGTAGGGTCTTATAAAAAGGGAAACTTCCTTTCCCGGAAGTTGCCATTTGGGAATCCCGCGTTGCTGCGCCTGGTACCCTCCAGAGATGCACAACTCCCAGCCTCTGGATGCTGTTGGGGAACTCTGTAGTTCAATGCAGCATTTCTCAACCTCAGCTCCCAGAATGCCCCAGCCAGCACTTCCTGACCGTGCTATACCAGTAGTCCTCGACTTACAGCAGCTCATTTAGGGGCTGTTCAAAGTTACAATGGCACTGAAAAAAGAGACTTATGACCGTTTTTCACATGGCACCTCCATGGTCATGTCAAAATTCAAACACTTGACAACTGACTCACATTTATGACGGTCAGTGTCCCAGAGTCATGTGATCCTCTTTTGCAACCTTCTGACAAGCAAAGACAATGGGAAAGCCAGATTCACTTAACCGTGTTTCTAACTTAACTGCAGTGATTCACTTAACTGTGGCAAGAAAGGTCATAAAATGGGACAAAACTCAATTAACAAATGTCTCACTTAGCAACAGAAATTTTGGGCTCAATTGTGGTCGTTAGTCGAGGACTACCTGTAATTTCTTGGTGGTTTCCCATCCAAGAACTTAAAGTACAACTTAGAAAGTTCATTTAGTCACTATTCAAAGTAACAGCCGCACTGAAAAAAGTGACTTATGACCGTTTTTTACACTTATGACCACTGCAGCATGCCCATGGTTGCATGATTTATATTCAGATGCTTGGCAACTGACTCATCTTTATGACGGCTGCAGTGTCCTGGAGTCCTGTGATCCCTCTGGTGACCTTTTGATTTGCTATGAACTGCCACCTCGTGGAGAGAAAGCAAAGGCCTCTCCCTCATGCAAATATCCCAACAGAACACATACCGGTACTTAATATTGTCCCACTGAGAGATTTCTTTGAGCTCCTTAGAAAAAGGACAGCTGCTCCAGAATGACCAGCGTTCCTGAGAATATCCCCAAAACAATATCAATTTCTCCATTAAAATGTTCCGTTTTCTTTCTGAAGCCACTCTCAAGCTATCTAAACTATTATTTGAATTTGCCACTGAAAAAACAACTGCAGCACATGTTCTAAACCTGAACTTTCTATGCTATAACTACATTTTAACTAATTTCTGACACTGGTTTTGCACTTGAAAGAGAGCAACTACTTCCACATGATTGCCAAAAAATCTTGAATCTAACTTGAAGGCAGCTTCACCTCCCCCCCCCCATCCCAAGGAATAATCTGCATTACTTCAACATTTAAAAGATTTTGAGGAATCCCATAAAATATGTGGCAACTTTTATTTTAAAACATGAGCTTGTTTCAGAAATATTTCTCTTCCACAGATTCCTCAAACACCTTTGTGGAGGTGTAACATTACCTATATTAAGAACAGATTCTCTGGAAACCATAATCTCAAGTAGCTGCTATTAAGAATGCAGGTTTGAGTTGCACAACAGGCTGCGATCACTACTATCTAAGACCCATCATGGGTACAACTCCATTTTTAAAAAGACTGTAATGAGAGTCGGGAGAGATAATTTAAAAAGTGCCAAATATTTTTAAAATGTGAGATGTTGTCACCCTCTTCTCTCTGCCTCCTCCTGTGACCTTCCCCTTGAAATGTATTACATTCTTGAGCTGATTTCTAATGAACTGGATAATCTGGAGAACAAGGAAAACATTGTTGGCTCCATCCATACAAGCATCTACATTGTTAGGGATTACAGTTCAATTCAAGCCATTCTACGCTTGTTTTCTATTGTACCACAGCTCTCCCACTGTTGTAACAGTAATACTTTTGGCAATGTGCATAACTGGTGTTCTTGCATCACTGCCTAACTTTGGAAGGGGCTTTCTTTTTTAACTAAAGCACCTTCAGGCAAGGATGTAAAATTCTTTGGTTTGGCCAAGCATTTTGCAAGAAGGAGGAGACTTCATTTCCCCGAAGCTTGAAACTCGGCTCTAGCCTCTGTAGAAAAGAGTATTCTAATCCTTTATTGTGCATCAGCTTTAAGAGCGAGAGAGACTCGAGGCAGACGAGAGTAAATGCACCGCAATGTGGATATTATTTAAAAAAATAGAAAATGTTAAATGCAGAACAGGAGCTTTGCCAGCAGTCGGCCAACTTTCAAAGAGACAACAGACAAATTGGGTTTGCCCTTCCCGACGGAGGCAGGCACACAAGCCTCTCCAATTCTGTCATCATTCCTTTACAAACTGCACTTCAAATATTTGCTAAGAGGCAATTTACGCCATTGTTTTATTTTTGGTAGAAAAAAGGGAATCCAGGTTTTACCAATGGGAGTTAATCAACAGTGCTTCATCAACGATGCTCTAGGTCTAAAATGATCGTATGGGGATTGGTTTTTTTTATCAAGTCCCGCTATTTGAAAGAAGGCAGATTGGGGCCACCAGTTATTCTGAAGATGACTCAAGCTCCCTTTGGCACACGGAGGTGCTGCCTTTATTGCTTTCCGACCTTGGGCCAGAAAAGGGGAAGAGAGGAAACAAGTATTTTCCCATTACTCCTTTCAAGATCCAAATAGCAACAGCACGTAGCAATAGCACTTAGACTTATATACCGCCTCATAGTGCTTTACAGCCCTCTCTAAGCGATTGATAGAGTCAGCGTATTGCTCCCAACAATTTGGGTGCTCGGAAGAATGGAAGGCCGAGTCAACCTTGAGCCAGTCAGGATCAAACTACTGGCAGTTGGCAGCCTGCAACACTGCATTCTAACCACAGCGCCACCACGTCTCAAACACAAGAGACCAATTGGAAATAGTAAAAGTATACACAACGTTTACAGCCAAATTAGCAGGAAGCCATCTGAAGGGAGCAAAAGGCCCTGCTGGCATCGCTACTGGCTGTTTTGTGGAAACATGGAAAGCACAAAAAGTGAGATTGGGGCACCCAACTGAACTGCCTTTTAAAAAAAAAAGTCATATTTTTTCTGCATTCCACAACTTTGTCCTTCTCGGCTTTTAAAAGATGAAGTCTTTAGAGTCTAGTAAAAATTCTGTCCCAATTTTTCTCCCATGCAATTAATAGAAAAGGGAAAGGATCTTCTTCCCTCCATTTCCAACCCTGTATTTATACTGGTCGTTATGTTAACACGCTCAGGCTCTAGAGCAGTGGTTCTCAACCTGTGGGTCAGGACCCCATTTGGGATCAAACGACCATTTCACGGGGGTCGCCAAACAACGCAGTCCACCATTTTTTCCCCCTTTTCCTTACTCCCTTTTATTCTATTGGCTTTTGAAAGCCAATAGAATAGACTCTCTTGAATAGAGTCTAATTCTATTGGCTTTCAAAAGCCAATAGGAATTGTCCAGGCTGTCTCTGCCCTGCTGAGCCCACCAAAAGTCCCATTCTGCAAACGGTGCTGCACCAGTTGAGTAGTCCTCGACTTACGACCGGTTGGGGGTTGCGGCATTAAAAAGGATGAGAACCACTGCTCTAGAGACTATCATGTGCTCTGCATGAACTGGCACAGATAAGAGACGGATTAAAGTCCGCTCTAACTTGGAAAGACCAAATCAGCCCCCGAGGGCGGCTTCAGCATCCATATCATGATAAACACCCTCCGACATCTCGGACAGGTTTCTCGGCATTATCCTTTCATCTAGTTGAACAGGAACACACTTCCATCAAGTCAAGCCGGTTTTACTTGGTTTTACAATCTCAACTTTCTTTTAAAATACACACACACACACACACGCGCGCGCACACTCCTGGACAGGCTGCTCACTCACTCCATTTTGTGTAAGCTAGCCTCCCACAGTCAGTAAAAGCATGTTTTAGTGAATACAAAACATTGCTGGCTTATTTGAAGCAGGTTTACCTCAATGCAGAGAAAAAGGAAAAGGTTAACTATATTCTCTTTGTACAGAAAGCAAAATCTGAGATGCTCTTTCAGATACTACCTGGAGCTAACAGGAGGACTTCTGTCTGTGAAACACTGGCGGGTCAGAAGAATTGGGCCAGAGGCGATGGAGAAGGTTTGAGATACAAAGGCGGAATTGAAAAGGTAACAGTGGAAATCAAGCCTGGAATCGGTATTTGCATATAGTCTGGACATGGGTGGTGGGGAAGAACGTGGTTCTAGTATGTTGCCTTGCGAGAGGGGCTGAAGGCCTGGCAATTGTGCAGCAGGAATGCCAAATGGAAGGACAGCCCCGGAGTTCCTTGCCAGAGACAGAGGAGTCCACTCTAACCCAGGGAAAACTCAGTAGTAGCAACGTCCACCCCACTAGGGAAAGAGGAGGAGGCTGCGAGAAGAGCAGAGAAAGTGCAAAAGGCTTCTGCAGAGTCGCAGGAGGCAGAATGGGGGAGTGGATGAAACCACGGCGGAAGGAAACGTAACCCTGCTTTTCAGGAAGCACAAGGTTCGGCCGAAAAGTGTCCCCTCTCCACAAACCAGTGCATAGAGAAGGAGTCCCACCTTCCGGGGTGCTGAAGGCCAAGCCTGTTGGCCCCCGGGGTGAACATCTGAGAGTCCCCTTCTGCTCTTCTCCCGAAGGAGAGACAGGAGCTCTGCAGGTGGCGGTACAGGACGGCTGGATTCTCCGCTACCCACACGCCCACCACTGCGAAACGTCCTAGCGCAATGCCAAAAATGGTGGAACCCTTTCCTCCTCCCCCCACCCCACCCCCAGCCCTTTCCCGTTCAATCTGTCTACGTGCCTTCCTTTTTGCACCCTCCTTTTCCTCTCTCCAGACCTCTCTCTGGAGCCCCTGAGCTCTGCAGCTCTTTGCAGCTAGAAAACGTCGGGCATTTGTTGTGGCCCCTGAATGCCTGAGGTTCAAACCCCACCCCAACTGTCCCCCAATTGCTTCGGAACACGACTGCTTCGGAGGCCACTGCAGGAGCAGGTCTTCTGCAGCCCTCTCCCTGGACAGGAAACGGTAAAAGGGAGCAGATCCACGGGGGGGGGGAGGAAGGAGGGGGAGAAACACCTACAACAGGAGGTTCCAGGAAGAGAAAGGAACGTATTCCCAAGCAATTGTGTGCAGGTTGACTTTGGGGACGGGCTGGAAGAAACCCCCTTGCCCCAGCCATCGTCTGGGGAAGCGTTACGGCGTGTAAGCCGGAGGTGGCTGGAACTGGTTGATCCCTTCGTACTCGGCGGGGTAAGGTTCGTTCTCCTCCATCTCGGAGAGGAGCTCCAAGGCCTGCTCCTCCTCTTCAGTGGGGTAGTGGCGCAGCAGGTTGGCGGCCGTGGCCAGGATGGACGCCCCGCCAGCTCCAGCCACCAAGTAAAAGCTTACGGCAAACGTGACGTAGACTTGCGAGCCATGGTACTTCTTGTGCTGCTGCTGCTGTGCGAGGATCAGCTCCGAAGCCCAGTAGCAAAACCCGATCACGGTGGCACACTGAAGCACTGTGGGCAGAAGGAAAAGACAGATGGAAACATGGGAAAGGAGGGCACGGGCAATGACTCTTTCTCAGGCTGACACAGAGACAGAGACAGAGAGAGAGAGAGAGAAAGGGAGAGGGAGAGAAAGGGAGAGGGAGGGAGGGAGACACAGAGAGAAAGAGGGAGGGAGGGAGAGAGAGGGAGGGAGGGAGAGAGAGCGAGAGAGAGCAACTAATTGTGCCTTCAATGCAGATGGGACTCGGTAAAGCAATATGGCGCATAAGCTCTAAAATCTCACGAGGGGGAAAATTAACACTGTAGGAACACACAAAAGGGTCTAGATAAAGCATAGATGGGGAAAGATGTAAGTATTTGATGGACCAGTAAGAGAAATGGACGGTTGTGGGAGCCCCACGGGAGCTCCCCAAAGGAACACAAAGCAGAATACAAAGCCAAGGCTGCCCAGCTACCTGTAAGGATGTGAGCAAAGGCGTAACGCCGAGTAATCTTCAGTGCAGGATGTTTGGGCCCAAAGACGTCGAGAAGGAAAGCTGAAAGGCTACAGATGATTCCCAAGAAGCAGAAAGCAGCAATCACCCGAAGTAACAACACCGTCTGGGGGTTCATGCAGTAGTCTAGAAGGAGGAAGATAGAATCAAAGAGTAGTTTGCGTTAGTGGCATTACTTCTGATCAGAAATGCTTCGTTGTTTCACAAATTCAGAAATGTCTATAGCCCAATGCAATATTATTTACTGAATATTCTGATTCCGACAAAGCCTTCTGCTACTGGGATATTCTTCAGATATGGATAATTTGTCTCTCAGAATTGCCCAGTGAAGCTCTTACTCAGGATTCTAAAAAATTCATGTATCTCGAGGAGTCAAAGTTACAGAAGGCTGAGTTTGGGTGGAAGGAAAATATCTCAAACTGCGTGGTTTATAAAAAAAAAGTGTGTTTAATGGATGAAAATGAACTCCCAGAATTCCTGAGCCAGCCACGCTGAAGGGAAAGGGAGAGGTCTCCAAGCTGAGCCATGCTGGCTCAGGAATTCTGGGAGTTGAAGTCCACGAGTCATAAGAGAACCAAGGTTGCCTACCCCTGGCTTAGAACCTCAGAAATCTGCTTGCTGAACCTCAAGACAAAATACAGATTTAACATTAGGGAGAAGACAGTGAAGTTCTCTTTAAGATGAAGCAGAAATTTCCTTTCCACCCGCAGATCTTCACAAGAAATGGTTTTCCCCTTTGCAAGCAGTTAGTTTAAACCTGCAGCACGTCTACCACCCAGGTCAGTCTTTCTCAGCTTTAGCAACTTGTAAGATGCATGGACTTCAATCGCCAGAATTCCCCAGCCGGGATGCATAATTCCACAATCTTTAAGTTGCTGAGGTTGAAAAACACTGACCTACTGTAGGTGACCATGACTCTGGCCAAATAAACAGCAGAGGATCAGACAGCCAGGCCAATCTATGGTTATCTTTAAGAGCACCAATCCAATCCCTTTTTCATTTCCTTCTCACCTTTAAGTAGATCCGGGTCAATGTATCCCAGCACATCGGCAACACCCAGCTCCTGGCGAGAACAGGTGCCCCCATGAATCCTTAGCCAGGCAGGCTCTGCCAAGGCAGTGCACAGGGCCGTTATCGAGAGGGCCCCGGGCAAGGCAGATGCCAGGCTCCTTTCGGGTTGCTTTGGCAAGGCACTGCCATCTTGCCCTCTTCGCCTTCGGCCGCTGGGCAACACTGAACCACTTGGGGTATACATGGATCTCCTTTCGGATGTCCGGTCAAATAAACCCAATGCGACTGAAACACTTGAGATTTTCAGAGGTCAGTACTGCCAGTGCTACTGGATACTAGCCAGGAGACGGCAGATTAACACAAGGCCTGCAGACAGGACATGACATCAGAAGAGGGGTGATCTCTGGACTCTGTTGAGGAAGCAAAAAGAGACAACTGATGACATGCAGATACAAGATGGGACAAGAAAGTCTTGCTCCTAATTGGCCAGGGTATGGGTTGATGCGTCTAAGTTCGCTTCTAGCTACCAGAGTTTAATCGTTGGGCTGGAAAATGTTACAGACATTTGCCAAGATCAAGCAGAGAAAAAAACCAACAATATTGGTTCCCAATAAAGGCACGTGAAGAAGCTTGGAATCCGGTTAGCAAAAATGTGAAGGACAACAATAATTCTCAGACTGAAGAAAGGGATTAAGCCCAATAGTCACAAGGATATTTTCTTTAAAGCAACTGGGGTCTGGCACAGTATTTTCACAAAACATTCCTTTGTCTTTCGTTTCAAGACCACTAACATCTAAAAACAGTTTGACAAAGGCCACACATGTCTCCACCATACTGACAACAATGTTAAAGATGCTAACCGCCATTTGAGGAATATAAACATGATGGGAGCTCTTACTCTCAAGGCCAGGATATATTCACACACTCTTTTGTTCTCAGCAAAGCAATCTGATAAGAAGCAACCCTTTCCTTAACCACTCTTAAATAGCATTACCATTGTTATTCATTTAACAATTGCAGTGATTTGCTTAACAGTTGTGGCAAAAAAAGGTTATGAAATCTGGCACAACTTGCTTAGAAATGGAAATTCTGATCCCAATTTTGAATATAAGTCAAGAATTGCCTGTATTGCTGTAAGGTTTTTCCCAACATTCAACCAGAATCTGTCTTCCTGTGACTTTTATTCCAACGGAATGAAAGAGAACAGATTGTGGCTCTCTTCTTCCTGTATTACATCTCACCTTAAGGAATTTTTCTCAAGGCAACACACAGGCACACACTTTGAACCTGGCCAGATGAAAAGCTAACCACCAGTCCCTAAAAAAAAAATTGTGCCTGGGAAAACAGGAGGAGAGGAAGAGGATAAAAGGTCCTGGATAAGCAGTTGTTCAAATCCAAACTGCACAACTCTATAGTGGAGCCTTTGAGAGGCCAGAAAATAATCTTTCTTTGTCTTTCCCAAACTCCGATTTCCTTTTTCCAACGTTCTCTGACCATGTAATTTTTCTCTCCATTTTCTCTGGCTGCAATTTAGGTGTTGGCCAAACCAGAGTGACTCTCAAGTTACAGGTTACTTTTACTGCCTTCAACAAAAGATGGGTGATTTATGACCTTGCAGTGATAGCAAAGGTTTTTTATTTGCTTCCTGGTATTTCCTGCCCCATGTTGCTAGATTTTATTTTAACTAGTACTATTCACTATTATCTTTTTTTACTTGTTTTAAGAATTCATATGTCAGAGTCATATGGTGACCAAGGACCATCTCAACTTGGGCAACAAGGAAGTTTGTGATAAATATTTATATGTGTATATACAAGTGTGCATCTGTATATGTGTGTGTGTGTACCTATACATGTGGGTTTATATTATATATATTCCTTTGAAAGCAGGCATCAGAATTTCATTTTTTAATGTGTGCCAGTGTGTTCACAGAAAAAAGTGACTGTTATCTTATCTCACCTGAACCGATAACTTCTACAAATAAAAATAACACTCTTGAGCCTCAGCTGGCTGCACATAGAGTACTCTCAACCGCCCCCTCCCCATTCACCCATCTTCCTCATCCTCATCATTAGCATTCCAACTCCGTTGGCCGGGTTCACACAACGCGCGGAACCCGAAATCCGGGTCAACGAATCCCAGAACCCCACAACCCAAACGAGGAGTCCCATTCCAGGCCGGTCACGTGAAGAGACCGTCCGGGCTCACACGACACGCAGCCCAGTCGGGGGTGGAGAGGAGCGGGACGCCCCTCAGACCCCGACTCGCCCCGGGCCAGACCGAGTAGCGCCGCCCTCCCGCGCGCCCTCCTCACCGCTGCCGCTCCCGACGCCTGAGCCGCGGCAGGCCTCAGTGGGGCTGCCCTCGCGACCGCGCCGAGGGGCCGCCGAGCCTGACAAAACCACCTCTCCCTCCACTTCCCGGCCGCCGCCGCGCTTCCGCTTCCGCCCCCTAGAGGCGACGTCCCGGCGTTGGGTCGCGCCCGCGTGACGTCACGGCGTCATGGCGTCGCGTTGCCCCCGCGCTCCTCGGTCGCGTCACAAAAGCGAACTGCCGTTACTGTACTATTCCCCACCACAACACACCCAAACGCACAATCACACGCACACAGAAATGGGTTGCGAGGATGGCCTTGGCGAAACACCCGCCTTGGTCTTGGGAGCTGGAGCTTCCTTGGCGAGATCTCTCTCTTAGCCAGGGCTCTTCCAACTTGGCCCTTTCATGACTTGTGGACTTCAACTCCCAGATTTCCTCAGCCAGGCACGTCCACAAGTCATGGAAGGGCCAAGTTGGAAGACCCAGGCTCTTAGCGCTGCTCAAAGGAAACAAGTGGTGGGGGGGGAAAGACTACGAATCCCAACAGCCTTAGCGGTGAGACTTCCGGTGCTGCCCGTTCAAGGGGCGTCCGCGCTGTTCGCTCCAAGCCTGATAACAAGGAACGGCGGGCAGCCCCTGCAGCGCCTGACCACATAGCCCATACTTCCCAGCCAGGGGCCGCCTTGGGCTGAATCTCAGGTGAGGGCCGAGGCCGAAACTCCCGCGGGAGCGAAAAACGGGGCTGTAAATTGCAGTCTCTATATTATTTTCCTGATGAGGATGATAACAGTACTAGGTAGTCCTCGACGTACGACCACGATTGAGCCAAAATTTCCGATACTAAGCAAGACAGTTGTTAAGCGAGTTTTGCCCTCCTTTTACGATCTTTCCTGCCACCGCTTTCAGGTGAATCCTTGCAGTTGTTAGGATAATCACTACGGTCGTTAAGTGAATCTGGCTTCCCCGTTGCCTTTGTCAGAAGGACGCAAAAGGGGATCACGTGATCCCTGGGACAATGCAGCCGTCATAAAGACGAGTCAATTGCCAAGGCTCTGAGTTTTGATCACATGACCCTGGGGATGCTGTAAGGGTGAAAAAGTGTGAAAAATGGTGATAACTCACTTTTTCCAGTGCTGTCGTAACTTCAAGCGGTCACTAAACAAGTGATTCTAAGTCAAAGACTACCTGTAGTTTATTAAATGGGCATGCTGCCCGAGTCTCAAGAACTTGGGACGGCTCGCCCTCCTTTTTGTCTCTTTCCTTCCACCTTTCCCAGCCTTAGCGCTTTCTCCGAAGAGCTGGGTCTTTCATAGTCCAAAGTAGGATCACTTGAATTCGATCGTTTGTGCCTGTCATGAAAACTATGGGACCATTTGTTTGATAGTCCATTGGTTGGTTTTCTTGCATTCTCGGGAATCTACTCCAAGACCACAGTTCAAAGGCATCCATAACCTTCCTATCGCTCCAATTTTTGCTCGAGGGATTCTTGAATTGCAGCATGGAAGCCCTTGTTAAAATCGGGAATAAGAAACGCTCTGACCTGCAAATTAAATGAAGCCCTCCCCTTGAAATAAAACCTTTTTTGTTGGCAGGTTTTTAGGTTCTGTCGTGTTGGGACCACTTGGCGTTCCAATGAAGGACTCCTTGACCCTCCTGTCCCGCATCCAGGCACACCCGGATTCCCGTTGTTGGTTCCTAGCCTGGAATCCTACAGGGACACTCCTGGCTTCCTGTGGTGGTGACCGTAACATCCGCATCTGGGGAAAGGAAGGTAGGCTCAAGTGGTCAGCTTGGTGTTTACGTTTCCAGGAAGGGAGAATGCAGAGAGCGTGTGGTGTTCAGGTTTGGGAAAAGAAAAAGGAATTTGGAACATGAAGGCACTCGTTGGTGTTGTCAGCAACTCCTTAAAAGAAGCTCTCTTTTCCTTACCTTGTGCAGCAGCGTTGGATTTAAGGAGTAAGGATAAGAGCAGGAGCAGTGTATGTTTGTTTACATGTTTTGAATTTTCTTTTCCTATTTGAATCCAGATCTCAGCAGTCCCCTAATAAACAAACAACCAATCTCTGGGCTTTAGGTTTGGAACTGAAAGCTCTGCTCCTAAGAGTCCACAGTGCATCTCTTAAAAGAACAAGAGGAACTTTTGATATCTATAAAGGAGAATATTTCTAGCTCAGGGTTGAAATGAGGGGTCCCGGGTTCTCTCTGAGTTGGTTTGTTTTCTCATAGACGTCCCATTACCCAAACTAGGTAACGTCCTCAGTGCTAAGTGCTGATGATCAGCGTGGATGATATTACCTAGTTCGGGTAATGAAATATCTGCGAGAAAATAGCCAACCTCGGAGAGCACCAAGGACCCTCACTTTTGCTGTCTGACTCAAGCATAGATTCTTGGAGCTGGGTAAGATATAAGAGGGCCAGTTGAGCCACTGGACTAGAAAACAAGAAACCATGAGTTCAAGTCCCAGCCTAGCCATGAAAGCCATCTGGGTGACTTTGGGCCCGTCACTCTCTCTCTCTCAGCCCAACCTACCTCATGGGATAGTTATTGTGGGGGAAATGGGAGGAAGAAAGAATGGTGGATATATTATTTGTAAAAATAATAAAGGCATAAATATAATAAAATAAAAAAGACACGACCTATGTGCTTGAGCAGATATTGGAGGTTAAAGTTTCTGGGTGCGTTCAAAAAAAGATACGATGCCAAAAGAACGTCCTTTAATGAATGTACAAACCATCGTTCCTCTCCCATTTCCTTGTAGCTTACCATGCTGTCTGCCTCCCAAACTGAGGACTGTACTGGTTGGTTTAATGGGTATTTCCCAATCTTAACCACCATTAATGTCTCGCTTCTCCAAAATGCACAATTTTGCAGTTAGTAGAGACATGAGACTCCTCCCTGCCCTCTTTCCTCAGCCCCCCAAAAGGGAAGCCAGATACTCGATTAATGTGATTAGTCTTGGGGTGCCAAGATCAGGCAAGGATGTTGCAAGCCACATTACCAGCTTTCTCTTGCCAGGTGATGCCTGGGTGTGCAAGTCCACTCTGGATGAAGGGCATCAAAGGACCATCCGCAAAGTGGCCTGGTCCCCCTGTGGGAACTACTTGGCTTCGGCCAGCTTTGATGCAACCACCTGCATTTGGAAAAAAAACCAGGACAACTTCGAGGTACAACACCCTTTGCGGCTTCTAATTCAAATGTGCTCAGTGGAGAGATAGGCCGTGCTCTTGCAGATTCATTTGGTTCCAATATTCTCAGTCGAGCGCCACAAGGAGCAAGAAAATAAGGGGGAATGTACACAAAATATGACTGTATTTGAAAATGTTGCAACTCATAATAACAAATATTTACTGTGCGCAATTTAGGGTTCACTAGAAAAATACAGTTCAGAACGGAGTGATTTAAATCTTATATGACTTACATGGATGCAGAATTGGAATACGGTTAAAAAGATGGAACAGTGAGAATCTCAATGGAGAAAAAAATACCAAGTCACTTTAAACATACTTAGAAGCAACTTTTTTCAGCTTGTTTTATTGTGAATGCATTACTTTCGTCTTGCTTGCTTAAATTAGTAGTTCTTTTCCCTCCAGATGCTGGAAATGAAGTGAATTGGAAATTAATTTATTGTACAATGGAACAATTACTGAAAGTTGTCATTCCATTTCAGCTGAGATTTTTATTACATTTCATCAAAGCACAGATTTCTTCCAAAATACACTGAACTGGCATTGTGTAGGATAACAGCTGCAAGGATTTTCTCTTTCTGGTCTCAGATTGCCGGTTGCCCTTCCTGTAAGAAACACCCCCTCTCTTTCTCCACCAGTGTGCAGCCACTCTGGAGGGCCATGAAAACGAGGTGAAGTCGGTAGCCTGGGCTCCATCTGGAAGTCTCCTGGCTACCTGCAGCCGAGACAAAAGCGTCTGGGTTTGGGAAGGTGAGCGAGAGCTTGGAGAACCACGGGAGGCAGACCACCCTTTGGGGGGCATTGGGATTTTCAGACCCTGTTATGCTGCTTTCACACAGTGGCTGCCTATCAAGTCCTTCCCAAGGATCTGGGATAAGGATCTGTGGTTGTTTGATAGTGTTAGAGACATCGAGGCAAGATGTAAGCTGTTTTGAGTAAAGCTGCCTTTTGCAATTGACCGGTGGAGAGTTTGTCAGTGCCAGTGATATTATTATTATGGTTTGTCATGTAGCCTGAAGTTCAAACTGGACTTACCATTTCTGTCCACCTGTCGAGTCCTTCTCAAGGACCTGGGATAGGCAGATGCAGATGTGTGATAGTGCTAAAGGTATCGTCATTAGTTGTAAACTGTTCTAAGCTGCCTTTTGCAACTGACTGGTGGTGATTTTTATTTTTATTGTTCAATTTTTATCACATTCCCCCCTCCTCTGTTACAGTGGACGAAGAGGACGAGTACGAGTGCATGAGTGTCTTGAATTCCCACACACAGGATGTCAAGCATGTCGTCTGGCATCCTAACCAAGAGGTGAATCTGGCTTCCTTCTCTGGGGTGGGGTAGAGAGCTCTCCTTTTGCATTTCTGCAACAGCTAGAGGATTATTTTTTGTGACACAAAGGCAGATATTCTCTGTAAATGGGCATTTTCCATGTGGCCCTGCAGGCTGCAAATCTTTCAGTTCTTCTGCCAATGCGGATTTGGGTCTCCCTCTTGGGGTTTTTTCTCTCCTGCCAGCTGCTGGCATCTGCCAGTTATGATGATACCGTCAAACTGTATCGGGAGGAGGAAGACGACTGGGTGTGCTTCAGCACCTTGGAAGGACACGAGTCCACGGTGTGGAGCTTGGCTTTTGATCAGAATGGAGAAAGGCTGGCTTCTTGTAGCGACGACAAGACCGTGCGAATTTGGCAGCAGTTTAAGCCAGGCCATGAGCAAGGTGGGTGGTACAGCACAGTGCCCTATGTTATATTGCAGGGGATAGAACTGTTTATTGGTTTGTATTTATTTATTCAATTTATTGGCCATTCATCCATATTACAGCATTAACAGTAAAAACATACAATTATGATTAAAAGATGGGAGGGAGGGAAGCAAGAGGCACAGGAGGGAGGAGGGATCTAAATTCGGACATTTGCCATATTTATGACGGTCGCAGCGTCCCCCCTGGGTCACGTGATCCTCTTTTGCCACCACCTGACAACAAAGTCAACGGGGAAGAAAGATTCACTTAATAACCCTGTTAGTAACTTAATAACTGCAGTGATTCACTTAGCAACTCTCGCAAGGTCGCAAAATGGAGCAAAATTCACTTCACTGTCTCATTTAGCCATAGAAAATTTGGGCTCAGTTATGGTTCTAAGTCGAGGGTTATTTGTATAAGGCTGCCTGTATCTGAGTAAGGTTCTGGGCCAAGTGCTGGATCACTTAAGGGACACCCAGGGGACACTGAATCCCCCTCCCCTCCATTCATATTTTCTGTCCCAGCAACTCTTCCTCAACTCCCAAACCCTGGATTGGACCTTCGCAATTGAAATCTCCCCTTTTCCCAAGAGGCCTGAAGCTCCTGCAGCAGACCCAGGAGAGAGCAGCTTAAGGAGCTCTCTTGTGTGTTTCAGGCGTGGCCTGTAGTGGTGCCGATCCTGTGTGGAAGTGTGTTTGCACCCTCTCTGGTTTCCACACGCGGACTGTCTATGACGTGGCCTGGTAAGTAGACGGGCTTCCCACAATATCCCAGGACAATCTGGGATCTGGGTCAACAACTGGTTCCTGTGAGGGTGTTTTGCAGGTTGCACCCTTGTGGACGAAAGAGTAACACAAGTGCTTCTCTACAGAAAAACGTGGGTACATGAAGGCGGTTTCCCACTGTAGAACATTGGGGTTTGTGACTATTCCTGATTCCTACAATGAAAGCCCCTTTGTAATGAGGGGAACCCCTTTGGATAAAGACATTTTAGCTACTATTTTATAGTTGTCTTAAAAGACACTCATTTTACCCCTTAACCTTCCTCACCAATGCAAAGAAAAGAATAGCTGCATGTGTAACCTTGCCAGAAGCCACACTCTAAGGATAGGTCCACAACAAAAAAAAGCTACGTTATTAAAAGCTTAGACTGGGGAATTCTGGGAGTTGAAGTCCACAGGTCTTAAAAGTTGCCACGGTTGGGGACCTGTTCTGAAGCAAGACTCGTGTTTTTTGAAGAACAAAGTAATTCATCTGTGATTAGCAGAATAGCTGCAGCAGTTTTTGAAGGCTCCAAAATAGTTATCACTCTGTATCAGCAGCTTCTGTTTGGGTGGCATGGTGACCTCACCTCCCACTTGGAAGGTTGAGAGTTCAATCCTAGGTAGTGGCAGATATTTCTCTCCTAGGACACAAAGAAAACTCATCTGCTGCAAACTCCACATGGGCATCAGGAAGGGCATCCTGCCAGTAAACGCTCAGCTCCATTCAGTCGCCCTGACTCTACCCCAAATTAAGGGATTACAGGATCATAAAAAAAGGGAGCTTTTTTTTATTAGCAGCTTCTCTTTAAAATACCCCAGCGTGTTCTGAATCGGTCTTGCGCTAGAATTCTTTTATTTTCCAAATTCTTGACAGGTGCCAGCTGACAGGTGCCTTAGCCACCGCTTGTGGAGACGACGCCATCCGGGTGTTTGAGGAAGAGCCTCTCTCGGACCCTCACCAGCCCACCTTCTCCTTGACCGCACACATGGCCCAAGCCCATTCTCAGGATGTGAACTGTGTTGCCTGGAACCCCAAGGAGCCGGGGTTCTTGGCTTCATGCAGTGACGACGGAGAAATGGCCTTCTGGAAGTATCAGCGTCCAGAGACTTGCTGAACACATTGTTGTTTCCGGGGGGGGGGGTGTTTCACAAGCACTAGATCCTCCAGAAGAGGCAACTGAACATTCTAACAAATTGATTCAACCGTGCTGTAGTTGTTTCCATTCTTTCAGAAGAACTGCAGTTCCCCAAGTGAGAATTACTATCTAGAAGGAAAACACTGGATTTGACAATCTGGTTGTTCTTTGACAAGGATCTAGGTGATTGCCAAGGCAGACTGCACTGAAGCTGGATTTTCACGGTAGGCCCGAAGTGAACCTTGGAAAGCTTTGTTATCCCTTCTATGCTGGCTTCAGGAAGTGACATGATAGGCTTTAAATGTTGGTTTCTACTTAATAAAACCAGTCTCCCAAGGATGTATAGTGGGGTGTTATAAAGGGAAAGGAGCCGTTATTTTGACATCTATAAGATAAATAAAATAAAACATCTGCTGTTGTTAATCTTGACTCCTTTATTAAACTACAGCTTCCCCAACTTGGACTCAAGTGGCTAGGAAAGACAGAAGATTTCTCCATACATCTGGGGAAAATGAAAGCGACCGGGGCTGGGGAAAGATGGAAAGGGAATTTCAAAGACTAGGACTGACATAGGCTTTCAGATGTACATGTTTTTTGCCAAGGAATGTCTACTTCCGGGGGGGGGGGGGAATCCATTTACAATAGGCACCTGTTTTTTTCTCTACAATCCTCTTCCCATTCCATTTTTAAGAGCAACCATCTCTAATCAAATTTTTCACTTCTATAGGCCAAGTTTCTCACCATAATTGTGTTAGATTTAGAAGAAGGGGTGCCTGCAGCTTCTTTACTCAGACCTTAATGTCGTGAGGAATACTTCACTCAGGAGGGCAAGACTATATTTAGTTTCCTGCAATTGAATTTAAAAAAAAAAAATGGATTCTACCTTTACACCAAATAATGAATGGCAAAGATTACACAGGTCCCATGTGCGAGACAAGTGCAAATCCATGTAGTATAGAGGATTGGGAATATTGAAAAGGTATGCTGAAGAAATATAACCATCTTCACTTGCTTATCCTCCCCAAAAGGAGATCTGAGTTAATTACTGGAAGTTTTTATTTTGGAAAATTAGCAGGATCTCAAAACTATCGATTCCGCTCATTTACTCAAAACATTGTACATAAAGCTACTGCTTGTTTTGCTGAGTTTAAAATAGGAAAAGCTCAAAATGCTGGAAGAAACACAGCCTGTTGATTGAGGCTTAGACGATGCAGGAAACCAGAAGACAGAGAACATCTACAGCACACGCACAACACACCTTTCCAACCACCTATGGTGGTCATCTGCTCCAAGGAAGTCCACAATGGCTTTATGGGTCCATCCCAGAAGATGTTCAGCGTGTCACTCAGTCAGAGTCGCTGTCACTCTCCGCCTCCTTTACATCCACACTGAACTTATATTCCTGGTCACAGCCCATGTAGGCATCGCTCATGAAGTAGAGTGTGTAGTTGTGCGTCCCAGTGGCCGGGGCCACAAAATCCAGTTTCACCTAAATAGCATAAGAATCGGCTTTTTAGAAAAAGTCAGGTCCACAAGGGACTGACAGGGTGGAGTTAAAAGCTGATTTTTGGGAAAAGCATGAAAAGCACACAGGTTGAATCAGCCAAGGGCTACAACAAAATCAGGTGCAGTTCGTGCTTCGTTTAACTTAAGGTTTCATTTTGACATTTCAATCCAGATGTTTTTAAAACCCACCAGCAGGACAATGGACATTACAGAATGTGAGACAGGAAAAAGTGACACGGGGAACAGAATTTAGCTTCGAAGAATCCTGGTTTCAATAGAAGCAAATATTTGGAGCACAGGGTTGAACTGACGAGTCCCTGATGCTCTCTGAATTTGGTGGTTTTTCTGGTAGATAAGCCTGTGAATTTTAGCTTGTCACTGTCTAGCCAACCACTTCCAGGAGAAAAGGTCTGTACATTTAAAGTCTACCCCATTTTCTTCCTTCTTGTTCCTCCACCAATTTCCTTCCCTGGTTTTCTATTGTTATTCCAAAGCATCCTCAGCATGACTGAAAAAAGCACTGAAAGAATCCAATGGCACTTGAGGAAGATTGGCCTTCCCCTGATCGCGAGCATACACTGTTCAAAAAGCTTGCTTTTATATCCAAGATTAGCCTTTAACATAACTACTGTAAATCCTGCCTAGCGTTGGTCTTAACTGCTCAGCCTCCTGACCACCACGCTCCCCAGAATGTCCTTGTTTCTAGTGTCCTGCTGACTTGAAGTGTATATCAAAACAGTATCGGAATGCTTCAAGGAAAGGAGAACGTAGCGAGGCAAAGAGAAAGATGCTCGTTCCCCACATCTGCAAAGCACCCGCTGTCTTTTGCCCTCTCTGCAAGCACTGCTGGCTACCCGAGCGGGCCCTTGGTCTCACCTTGGCCTTCTGCTGCAGCGTCAGTCGCTTGATGGAAATGAGGCTGTTGGATTTGGAGTCACCGATCACCACCCACCAGCCTTCCTCGCGTTTCTGGGGGAAAGAAGCAGCCAAGAGGACAAAGTGGGGCATGCAAAGTGTATTCTCAGCCCCAACAGGCCCTCGGCCTCTCCCAGAAGCTGAATCGGCTGTAGTCCTTTCTCCAAGGACTCTTCTACTTACCTGTGGGAACAACGGGGCAATCACCGGCCCGGTAACTTCCTCCTCTCGCTCCAACTGCACCAGCACAACCACAGGCCCTCCACTGGAGAAAGAAAGAGAGTAGACTCGCATTTCCCCCCAGGACCGTTCGGCCTTCGCTCCCTTCCCACTCCACTACAAGCAAGAGGTTGAGGAATCCACAGAGCGCTAAAACCTGGGCGGTTTCCAGCAGGGAATTCTGTCCCACAGATTTTTTTTGTTGGTGGTGCCTTCGAGTCAGTCCAGGGCTGCCTGGACGTCCCTGCAGTTTTCTTGACAAGGTTTTCCAAAGTGGTTTGCTATCACCTGCTTCCGAGGGCTAAGAGAGAGGAGCTGGCTCCAAGCTACCCAGCTGGCGTTGTGCCTAAGACAGAACTAAAACTCACAGTCTCCCAGTTTGTAGCCTGATGCCTGAACCACTACACCAAACCAGCTCTCACAGAAAGTTTGTCAATTTGAAGGTAGACAACTTAATTTTAAAAAAATGGAGAACCTGAAAGCATGCAGGACTATTAGAGAGCATCTTAGAAAGCCCAAAGTCTTTTAAAACTAAGTTTAAAAGTTCTATAATAGTTCCTTGGTACAAACTGCTGCAAAGCTGGTTACCAAACTTGTCATTCTTCAGCTGGCACCACCCAGCCTTCCAACGACAACAAACTCGCTCACTCTGTAACTGAAGAACCAATCGCTTCCTTTAGCCTCAGGCCCTGTTCTCTCCTGCCTGTCTCTCCTCACCAGCAGCCAAGTCCATTCAACAAGACTTGCCTCTGTCCATGAGCAATGAGAACAGAAAGAAAGCAAACTGCTACTACCAGCTACATCACCACAGTCCTCCTTCTCTTGCAACCTTCCCGGCTCTCTTACCTGCGGATGCCATCCTTTTCCACCACCTCATAGGAGAGTTCGATGTTGGGGTAGCGGTTGCAGAAGCGAGCCACGTCTGCAATCTGGGCATCGGAGAGCTGAAGCAGGGCGTTGCGGTCCTCGTCTTCCATCTCCATAATGTCAAACACGCTTTCCACTCCCTGCGCAGAACGACAGGCAGAGGATAAGCAGAGACTGGCAGCCCGAGGGGAAAAGCTTCCGGGTTACAGTGTCATTCCAAGAGTACCCCAACACACACACACACACCGCATTCGGGATCAGCTGATCCATGGGATGAGGATCAGTTGGAGGCGCTCTTGAGGTCCCACCTGTGGGATGACTCTTAAGCCCACCTCTTTTTGGCAATGGCAGACCAAAAGCCAGGGAGAGAAGAAAGCAGGGTAAACCACCCGCCCACGCCTGTCATTCTAGGAGCAGTCAGGCAGTGTCTGATAATAAATTCTCCAAACTGCAAGAGGCTCGTGGCACTTTGGATAAAACAGACCTCCTTCAGGGTCAGGCCAAGCTAGAACATCTTGAATCACTTCTCTTTGGGAGGATCTGCTCCCAAAAATGCCCCCCCCCCTCAAAGAGCTAGCAACGTTCCACAAATTGGGCCCCTCCCTGATTCCCAATCCTTCCCCAGGAAAGACAAGAGGCGGCTGAAACCTGCCTGCTAACTTCAGCATTGGAAATTAGACAGCTGGAGCCAGTGCAGCCCAGAGTGCTGTTCAAGCAGGCAGGATATAAATCTTGTAAATAAAGGGGGGCTGGTGAAAAATTCCTTTTGCTTTTTTTTAAAATTCCCATTGCAACTGGGCCCTCCACTTTCACCGTTCCCTGCTGCGCCCATTTGGCAGGGCCTCCTGTGCCCTTTTTCTGGGCTGCTCCACTGCTCCTCCGACGTAGCTGAGAGGGAAGCCCGGGTCAATCCTCACCTTCTCCGTGCAGCGCTTGATGTGTTCGGAGGTGAAGTGTGGCAGCTGCTTCAGGTAGGAGTCCTTCGACCACATGGCCTGCGTGACCATCTGGGCCAGCTCCATGGCCGCCAGGGCGGGGCTCAGCCAGCCGTTGCTGGAGAGGACGTCGACGCAGGCTTGGATCAGCCGGATGGCCTGGACAGGGACAGAATCGGCTTAGTGCCCCAGGGGCAGCGGGAAGAAGCCCCCGCTGAGCTCCCCAGCTAGACAATACTCCTGCCCCGTGGAGTGTTTCCATTCCCCCCACACCCCTCTTCACCTTGCTCAGAATCTCCTCGGTGTCTGACTGGAGCTCTGCGCTTAGCTGCATCCGTGACAAGTGTGCTTGCAAAAGGAGGTTGGTCTTGACGTGGGGGTCGTTGAACTTGGGGTTATTCAGCTTGTGGGGCACTTTCTGGGCCAGCTGGAAAAGGAAGGGAAGGAGTATTCTAAGCATCAAACACAACTGTACACCAATACAAGCTGCCATCTGCACATGCTGCCCACCGACGGTCCACTTACAAGAAAGGAAGCTATTGAAATCGGAGCTTTCTTTAGGCAAAAATACCATGGGGAAAAAACAAATGGGATTTTGCAAGGAAGGCACAGCCACCTCTCTGTTGGTGAGCTTGTTTTATGTCTTAAATTTATAGGCTGCCCATCTCACTATTGAGCAACAGAGAATCCCTCCTGAGCCCCCCCCCCAGGGCTGACCTTGTTAGTGAAAGCCACCCATGGGCTGGCCACGGAGATGTAACGACTAAGTCACTCACCAAGCAACCCCAGAAAAGCTGCAAGAGAACCAGGAACTTCCTTGGCATAGAGATAATTATTCCCTTACCTGCCGCAAGAGATTGTCCTCGTGGTGCCGAATAGGAATATTCTCATATTCTGCAGCATTGGAGATAATTTCGATCAGTCCTCTCACTTTCGTCTTGGCATTCAGGGACATACTGAAGAGTTCTAGAGCGAATAATT